AGAGCAATGTGATTCTGACCTAATTTAGACCCCTCCTCTCATGCTCCACTATCTCCCCCCTTCAAATATAAGGAAGCCAGAAATGGGACAAATGAGGCAAAACAGTCAAAAAGTCACAGTATATAACTTATTTCATCCTGAAGTTCAACATAGAGATGTGTGGATATTAGTCCATGTCAGCCTTTTGCAGTAGCCCAGAGAAAAAACCAACAACATGAGTATTAACATCACCTTTATTGTATGGTTACAGTGAAATAATATTGCACATCTGAAAGCATTTCTCCCCTCCCTTGTCTTTCCAAGCTAGAGAACTACAGAGGATCTCTTCTGAGAGACTTTTTCCACCCTTGTTTCTTCTTCTTCTGATATCTCTTGTTTGACTGTCTTCCTCCTCTCTTCCAAGGTTATTCTGAAAGTCCATTACAATGCATATATCAGGAGATTCATACTTTGAATAATGAAAGAGCTTAAGAGTCCCAACTTGTGTAATATTGAGAGGAACTCTTGCGATCTTAACAATCCACCCAAATGTATGATGTCCACCCACTTCCAATCTGAAAATCAAACAGCAGTTTGGCTCTTGTAACTCACAAAGATTAGAAGAATTGTTCTTTAACAAAAGGTACTTATCTAGATGTTTTAAAATTCTACCATATTTTTTGGTATTGATCTTTGGATTTGAAAATATGTTCTCACATTGATCTTAACATCAAATGATGCTCAGTTGTAATATGTACACACCCATCACAACTTACTCTGATAGCTATATATTATCTCCAATATTAGAGGCACTATGTCACTCAAACCAGTTGCTAGGCAACATGAGCAGAAAAGTGCTATTGCACTATTATTTTTGAAAGCTTTCCAACGATATCACCACTGTGGAAATAGAATTAGATATCCCGGAGATCAAATCCAGAACATCTTTATTATATTCTGAGGTATTCCTTGCTTTTATTCAATAGGTTTCCCAAAGCTTAAGGTCACTTTGAACACCCTATATCTTACAAAAATGTCTTCTTTACCAATTTCTTTAAAAATAAATACAAATGCCGTGTGCTTCAATTAAGCCTAACAAATGATAATGTAAATAGAACACTAAAGAATAGCAAACCATCCATTTAAAAACATTAGTATTATATTCTCAATATATGTTTATTCATTTACCACATGCATTCATTACTATTTATCATTATTGTCTAGGAGACCACAATGCTATTGCAGAGAAGTAGTTAGGCTGCCAATTTGCCAGCTCTGTTGTAGAACACGTCTGTGTGCTTCCCAAGGTACGCCAGAGGAGGGCCAGCTGGCTTTGCACCAGAAAAAAAGATGAGCAGCTTTTTCCGCAGCAGCATCCTAGGTTTCCTCCCTTTTTGGAGCTGCCTTGTAAATGGGCCCTGCAACTGGGAAGGTTCAGAGCCAGCAGGAATCTAACTGCCTGCACAGAGCACAGACTCGTGTTTCCACCAAAGTAGTACTTATTTATCTACTCGCATAGAAAATGCTTTCGAACTATTAGATAGAAAGCAGCTGAGGCAAGTGATGGAAGTTCAACCTGACACACAATGCTAGAATTCGAACCACTGAAGCAGGGGCCATCTTTAGTCTCCTTAAGGTTATTCAGCCACGGTGCCTCTACATGCCCTCATAAGCCTCATGAAGGCAATATAAGCAGCCTTTTGGTTGACTTGTGCTATAATTTTCCCCAGCAATTATCCCACTCTTTCGTCCATAATTTTAATGATTTTCTCCATTTTCAAAAAATCAAAGCAAAACCACTTCTACATTGAATTTCTGCAGTAGTCTCAGAATACACATTGAATAAAGCTATGTGTGCATGAAGGGCATTATAGAAAGCATATGTACAATTTTGTTAAAGATAAATTTTGTTCCTAATCTCTTAAATAGAACGTTTACATTTGAATCCAAATGTCAGTGGTTTTATTTATATTTATTTGTTAGATGTCCATCTTCCAAGAGCTGTAGGCAGTTTACATGGGGGATCTCCCTTTATTTTGTCCCCATAAAGGCAACTCTGTGAGGTAGATTGATCTGAGAGAAAGCAACTAGCCCAAGGTGATCCTGTGAGTTTTGAGGCCTGGAGGCAAAAGTGAAGTTCATTTTCTCCCATTTTACTCTTAACACTTTAAATTACAATACCACAATGACTCTGTTTTAGATCTTTTATGACTGTTTCAACAAGATAAACCCATTCATTTAGCCATCCTTTTATGTATTTTTTTTTTAAAGAAACTAATTTTTAGTTAGGTGTGTATTAAGTATTGCTCTAGATTGTTTTCTGATTGTCAAAAGCAATCAGAATCATGTCCTATAGATCAATAAGTCCTTTAACAGAACAGATACAGTAAACCACAGATCATCCCACTCTGCAGTAACCCATTCAATTAATCACGCGATCTATAAACTAGATCAAATTTCTATAACCCACTATTGCAATTCCCAAGATTTTTAGAAATTGAAATCAATTTATCTGAATGATGTTCAGATTGCAAAAGGCTGATTTAAAGGATGACTCTTTTATGGCTTCATCTGAGCCGCGCCCACACAAGAATTTGAGTTTCAGAAATGACCATAGTTTTTTTTTTTAGACCTACAAACAGAAATGGAGCCACAAGGTAGTCAGGTCCAATCACCTTTTAAAATAATCAATGGGCCACAGCTACTTGAGGAACAATGCTGAGGGTAAATTCAATTGGCAAACTGCAGTGCGCTCTCCATGTTCCTTTAGTCCCTTGATCTTTCCTTGACTATACCACAGTGGTTTTCAACTTTTCTGATTCCACAGACTAGTTGTGGCAATGGGAGCAGTGACAGGGGAGATGATTTCGATCATGCAATCTAAATCCTGCGCATGTGCAAATGAAGCTTTGTGTGTTCACCCACCATTTGCACATCATGGACCTGTACTGGTCTGTGGAACTGTTATACCAAACCTTATTGTATATGAACCAATTTCCTTATGGCTCCCTGCTGAACCAGGGCAGCTGGCACTGGGCTTAGATAGATAGGAAGTCAGGATTTAGGTGGGTTTCCTAGCTTTCCATAGCCTGTTAATCTTCATCCACAAAATATTTGTTTTCTCTAGAACACAATCAAACTATAAATCCTAGAACAAAAGCAATTAGGGAAGTAATTTTGATAATTGTTAAAAGGGCAAAGCAAGTTTTAGAGATCCCTTGGCCTAGAAATTTGAAAAACAAATTATTCCCAAACATAAATCTTGTAAATCAGTTGTAAATCTTGCCAAAAGTTGTGTGAATCCAGAACAGAATTGCCCAATTTAATCTTCTAAATTTAATCTTCCAATAGCCTAATTTAATCTTAATTAAACATGAACATGAAAGGCCAAAAGGATTATCATTTTTAAAGATCACCTTGCAGTACATGGATTTGGACATTTAAGAACACAGAGACCAATTCCTGAAAGAGGGAGAATCTCCATAAAGGGAAAAAATATTACTACTGGAATCATGAGAAAACTTCCCCAAAGTTAACTGAAACTGGAGTCCTTACTAAATCATCTCCAAATAAAACATATGATAGAATATCTTAAAAAACATCTTAAAATTTTACATTTCAGTATTTAGAATCTAGTTTCAAATTTAGGATAATCTATTGAGCTAAAGGATTACCTCTGCAGTTCTGACTGCAAAGGCCAATTTTTCTTTAAGCCTGGAGAACATTGGGGAAAATGTGTCTTAGCCCCCAGTTTGCTCTTGGCCCATGGTGAGAAAAAAACTCTTTGCAACTATTAGCAAAGGTATAACAATAGTGTGATTAAAAATCAAAAATAATAATTTTGGAACATAAAATGTTCCAAATAAAGACTAAAATGAGGAAATAAAAACTTGTAAAAATTCTGAAATATACCTAATACTTCCAGTTTGAAAATTTCTGAAATAATCAGTCTCAGTAATTTCTTTTTTAAAAAAAATCTGGGAAATCATAATTTCATGATACTTCAAAATTATTATTTATTGACAATGCCTTTATTAAATTATAATATATGTTCTTAAGAATACACTAACCTGTAATAGACTTAAATTTGTAATACAGTTAGTCCTCAATTTACAACCACAATTGAGCTGAGCTTGACTTTTATGTTGTCAAGTGATAAATTTGTTAAGTGAATTTTGTCATATTTTATGACTTTCATGCCACATTTGTTAAGTGAATCACTGCAGTTGTTAAACTAGTAACACAGTTGTTAAGTGAATCTGGTTTCCCCATTGACTTTGCTTGTCAGAGGATCTAAAAGGAGATCACGTGACCCCGAGACACTGCAATTGTTATAAAAGTGAGTCAGTTGTCTTAAATCACTTAAATGCAGATCTTAAATCACTTTTTTCAGTGCCATTGTAACTTCGACTTTTCTTGCCACGGTTGTTAAGTGAATCACTGCAGTTGTTAAACTAGTAACACAGTTGTTAAGTGAATCTGGTTTCCCCATTGACTTTGCTTGTCAGAGGATCTAAAAGGAGATCACGTGACCCCGAGACACTGCAATTGTTATAAAAGTGAGTCAGTTGTCTTAAATCACTTAAATGCAGATCTTAAATCACTTTTTTCAGTGCCATTGTAACTTCGACTGGCCACTAAATGAACTTTTGTAAGTCGAGGACTGCCTGTATATAGATAACGTGTGGAAATGAAGCGACTGGAACCTTAATCATTGGGTTAAAAAAAAAACATCATTTCACATCATTGTCAGAAGCACATCTCAATAAACTTGGGTTTTAAGGAAAGAGGAACGCTGTATATACAAGAAAGCATCCAGATAACATTTCCGGTTTGGTCTGGTCTAGGACAATGTTTCTTAGTCTTGGCATGCAGCCTAGGGAATTCTGGGAACTGAGGTCCAAACATTTTAAAATTGTCGAGAAACACTAGGAAAACATTATTTGTAAATCTGTCTGGACTGGATTAAGTCCTATTGTCAAGAGAAAAGTAATTTTGTGATAGAGAAAAGCTGCTCTTACCTGATCCCGGATCCTGTCCTGTTGTCCTCGAATTGCTAAGGCATGCTGTGGGTATTTGTTCTTTAAGTGGTCCATGAATGCATCCCTCTTGCGTTCCATCTCAGACTTCTGGAGCCCCGTGAGGGCTTCTAGACTCTGGGCAGCAATGACAGTATGACGACGTTCTGAGGTGTGCACCAACCCTACATTGGAGAAGCGACGTGTGCCGTTGCCCAGGGTGCGGTATTCCCGTGGATATTCTGCATCATCTGCTGAGATCATGTGGGCGCTAGTCCTCTCAGGATCTACGCAAATTTTGGAGGAGGGAAGGAAAGCAGAGAGGGAGTCAGGGCGTCTTTCCACTTATCTCAATAGTAAAGAAAAGGAATTAGGGATGTTTGATGGGAGAAATTTAGTAAGGGTAAGAGACGAAAAATCAATCATGGGCTTAAATCGAGTTTCCATTATATTAGACCCTCACTCCCAATTCTGGATAGGGCAAGCCAGAAATAAGGCCAACTAGCTGTTCACGTGAATTTCATTTTGGTAAGTAACCAACTATCTCACCCAAAAATATTTGATTTTTCATTCTCATTCCAAGATGCAGAGGCAGCTTCTGCACAAAGTCACATACATTTCTGACTTTTAAAGTCATGGGCAGATTTTAGGTTTTTGCAGATTTTAGGTTTTGGCCAAAACAGATTAGAAATTGAGGAGGAAAGGGTTCATTCCTATCACTTTTGACCCCAAAGTGATTTCCAGGAAATTTCTAGGATTAAAGGGAGAAAACGTTTGTGGGAATAGGGGCAGAAAAGGCCGTCATCCTTGAAAAAGACAAGACAATAACAGCAAGACAAGTACTGGGGGGATCACAAAGACATCAAAACTGCTCCAAAGGAGCTAAAATTAAAACATAAATGGTCAAAAGACCTTAATAGAGGATGACGGCCCAAGTACCCCTTCTCTGCAGAAGAGGTAGGAAGTTGACAAAGACAGACAAATTTTCTGAAACAGCAAATACAGAAAGAAAAAACTGAAAGAAAACACAAACAAAATTCAGATTACTTATAGGAAAGGAGGTTGTAAGGAGTACTACAGTACAATAGTACTACTATTTCTTTACTTCTGAAGTAAAGAAATACATAATTTCTTAAAACAGAAACACTGGACTTTAGTACCTGCTTCTTCAAAGGGAGCAATTATTCAGTTTTCTAGGCCCACATTTCTATCCCAAATATTTTTACTCATACCAATGGGGAGGGGATTCATAAATCTCATAAGCTAGCCAGATATAAAGAATTGTCTCACCCGTCATCTCAACTTCCCCGCTGAAATAAACAGCCTCTATAATCATAGTGGTGATATAAAAAGGTATTGGAGATTTGTAGATAGATGATTGCTTTAGTGACAATGCTATAATGTGGGGAAAGGCAAAAGTAAACCACGATTGTATTTTACTAAGAAAACCGCACAGATTAAAAAGAGAGAGCAAGAGAGGGAAAGTGATTGATGACATTGTGCTGATTAATGGGCCCCTCAATGTGAATGGCATTCAATATGATAGTGAGGAAGAGCTGAGGTCTTTCAGAATATTAATAGTATTTATGATGCATCTAGATTAAAGCCTTTGGGATGTCTAGTTGATATTGCTTCTATGAAGTTAAAAAATGTGAACCAATAGAAATAGATTGTGGATATAAAATATAAGGAAAATGAACATAAGAATAGTCAAGACGTGAAATATAAAGTGAATTGATTATATACTTATTCCTTAGGCACCAGCAAATTGGACTGAAATCAGACGTTTTCAGTCAGTTCATACTGTTTACTAAGGTCCTCAAAAAAACCATTGCTTTCATAGTCAGGAAGGATATCAAAGACAGGACTCGGGCACAGTGCAATCAATAACTAGTAATAACAGTTAAACTTCATGGACAACCCTTTAATATGATGGTTATCCAGGTTGATAGTCCAATCATTGAAGCTGAAGAAGAGGTTGACAACTTTCATGGCTAAATTCAATCTGAAATTGGCAGAATATGCAAACAAGATGTATTGAGGGTATAACACTGGATTTACAAGTAGGAAATAGTAAGGAGAAAAACATAGACAGTATAGCCTTAGAAAAAGAAATAAAGCAGGGAATGACTCATGAGTTTCTGCCAACCCAATTATTTCTTCATTGATATAACATTTCAAAAAATATCAAACAAGGAAAGAGTTTGCTGAACTTTTAGAAGGTAAATTGAAGGTAGTCCAGACATGAAGTGCATGCAGATGAAGTAATTCTTTTTCATGGTTATAGTAACAGAACCTTCCAAGTTGAAAGCACATTTCTCACCTGCCTTTATAGCCCAAGAAATTAAGGAGGGTCATACTGAGACTTTTGCCATGTCCATGTTTCTGCTTCAAGCTAAGCTACCTCTTACTGAATTATTATCTTGAACTGGACCTTTCCCTGTCTCACAAGGTCATTCCAGGGGTAAAATACATTTACCTTTGCTCCTGATGGGTACCAATGTGAGTGCGCACGGAAGGCAGGCCCTTCCATGCATGCGCAGTGTCAAAATGACATCCATGTGGGTGGGCGGAGCCTGCTACCGAGCGCACCTAACAAGCAAGTAAGCTAACAGCAAGGTAAGCGAACAGCAAGGGGGAGAATCCGCTGGGCCATGCAATTTAGATTAGCTAGAAAGCAGGAAATTATGTTAACTAGAAAGCAGAATTTCCTGCTTTCTAGTTAACATAAATCAGCACAGCTGATTATTGAAAAAACAGTTCACTTGAACCAGCAGCATTTTTTTTAATACCGGTTTGGGCAAACAGCTAGTATCTTTGCTACCGGTTCGGGTAAACTGGTCCAAACTGGTAGCATTTCACCCCTGGGTCATTCCCATATACCGTTACAATACCTCAGAAGATATTACCTATTTTAAAGAAACTCTAATGATGAACAAGGATCTTAGATCAGCATTCTGGTCATTGTCAAATCAGAAATAGGGCAAACTACAGAAGAAGAATAAGTAAATGTTGTAATCAAACCACGCTAGCAAATCTAGAGAACAATCCAGTGGCCGACAAATCAATCAAAATGCCATACCAAAGAAAATTAATTTGAGTATGTAGTTTATCACAAAATGTCCTTAGTTTTCCCACTAGCAAAATAATGTTTCAGATTAGAGTATTACATGGAAAGATGCCCGATAATCAAATTGGTTTTAGAAAAGGCTGAGGAACAAGTAATATTATCACTGATGTACGTTAGATAATTGAGAAAACCAAGGGATACCAAAAAAGAAATAAATATATGTTTTGTTGATTGCAGAAAGGCCTTTGATTTTGTCAATTGTATAATGTCCATTGGAAAATGAGAATTTCAAAATATCTCACTGGCCTCAGGCAAAACCTATAAACAGAATAGGAAACCACTGTTTGGACGGAACATGGCAAAACAGATTGGTTCTAGTTTGGCAGCAACTTTTTTATTTTGAATATATATTGAATAAGATTTATTTGAAGAATATGAAACATCAATACCTCTGCTATGACACTACTCTGATAACTGAAAATGTAAATGGATCTGGAATTAAATATGTCAGATTAAGCTAGTCTGATAGTAATGTTTAGAGTATATCCATCCAAAGATAGTTAAGTAAGTCATGTAAGTATGTATATGGTGATTCTCAGTCATCCAGGCTTTTTTTAAAGCACCTTTGAGACAAGTCTAGAAGTATGAAACCAGCTTCTGATGGATGCTGCAATGCAAAAGGAAACAAAGTAAAAAGATTGAAAAGATGTCTGGTATATTAATATGAAATTAATTATTTTTTCAGGTTATTTTAACAAAATGTAAAATACTTAGTGAATTCTTTCTAGGATTGGAGGGAGGGAGGGAGGGAGGGAGAGAGGAAGGAAGGGAGGAAGGAAAGAAGAAAGGAAGGAAGGAAATTTGTGTCATGCCGCAGGAGGCTCCGTGCAGTCCCCACTCAATTTCTTGGCCGAACATGCATTGGCACTGGATCAATCTCCTCCAGAGAAAAAAAACGAGGCTCCTCCTTACAAAGAACTCCCTTGCCAGAGTCCTCCGTCCAAGCATCTGGATGCCCACCAGACCAACCCAAAACACCACAGCCTGCCCTGGGCACTACAGCAATGTCCTCAGACCTCAACCCTGGTGCCGACCCCCCAAGTCAAAGTGTTCTC